TATATTCACCTGGCCATCCCCATATTGAATTTGTATTCACATGAACATTCCCATATTATATTTATATTCATCTGGCCATCCCCATATTGAATTTGTATTCACTTGGACATTCCCATATTATATCTATATTCACCTGGCCATCCCCATATTGAATTTGTATTCACATGGACATTCCCATATTATATTTATATTCACCTGGCCATCCCCATATTGAATTTGTATTCACTTGGACATTCCCATATTATATTTATATTCATCTGGCCATCCCCATATTGAATTTGTATTCACCTGGACATTCCCATATTATATTTATATTCATCTGGCCATCCCCATATTGAATTTGTATTCACCTGGACATTCCCATATTTTATTTATATTCACCTGGCCATCCCCATATTGAATTTGTATTCACAAGGACATTCCCATATTATATCTATATTCACCTGGCCATCCCCATATTGAATTTGTATTCACATGGACATTCCATATTATATTTATATTCACCTGGCCATCCCCATATTGAATTTGTATTCACATGGACATTCCATATTATATTTATATTCACCTGGCCATCCCCATATTGAATTTGTATTCACATGGACATTCCATATTATATTTATATTCATCTGGCCATCCCCATATTGAATTTGTATTCACATTGACATTCCATATTATATCTATATTCACCTGGCCATCCCCATATTGAATTTGTATTCACATGGACATTCCCATATTATATTTATATTCATCTGGCCATCCCCATATTGAATTTGTATTCACATGGACATTCCCATATTATATCTATATTCACCTGGCCATCCCCATATTGAATTTGTATTCACATGGACATTCCATATTATATTTATATTCACCTGGCCATCCCCATATTGAATTTGTATTCACATTGACATTCCATATTATATCTATATTCACCTGGCCATCCCCATATTGAATTTGTATTCACAAGGACATTCCCATATTATATCTATATTCACCTGGCCATCCCCATATTGAATTTGTATTCACATGGACATTCCATATTATATTTATATTCACCTGGCCATCCCCATATTGAATTTGTATTCACAAGGACATTCCCATATTATATCTATATTCACCTGGCCATCCCCATATTGAATTTGTATTCACACGGACATTCCATATTATATTTATATTCACCTGGCCATCCCCATATTGAATTTGTATTCACCTGGACATTCCCATATTATATTTATATTCACCTGGCCATCCCCATATTGAATTTGTATTCACATGGACATTCCCATATTGAATTTGTATTCACATGGACATTCCCCTATTATATTTATATTCACCTGGCCATCCCCATATTGAATTTGTATTCACATGGACATTCCCATATTGAATTTGTATTCACATGGACATTCCCCTATTATATTTATATTCACCTGGCCATCCCCATATTGAATTTGTATTCACATGGACATTCCCATATTGAATTTGTATTCACATGGACATTCCCCTATTATATTTATATTCACCTGGCCATCCCCATATTGAATTTGTATTCACATGGACATTCCCATATTTTATTTATATTCACCTGGCCATCCCCATATTGAATTTGTATTCACTTGGTTTTCCATCTGTCAATATGATAATTCGCTGGGTCATTTCAGACCTTCAGCAGATATCATCATTTCACCCAGTATAAAACCCATATTCCATCCCTCCCAGTAAATAACCTCTATACACATACATCTTTTCGCCACAATCCTTAATCAGAGCTTCCAATCCTTGCTGATCCCACTCTTTACCATTCCTTGCATAAAAACCATAACATATGATATTTATTTCCTAGGGTGCCACACAAGAAGGACCAACTATCAAGAGGCGGGGTAGTCTAATTATCAGCCAGGGCTGCAACTTTCAGGAACTTTAATTAGTGTCTAAAAGTATATGTGATATCTCAGTGGGGAGCTTCAACATTATGATAGACTAGCATATTCAAAGTGTCAGTTCCTAGCTCTCCATCATGAAAATTGTAAATATCTATCATACTCTGAGGTTTATTTTTCCGTATATTCCAATTAATGTCTCAATTTCAGAGATATTAAGCCAGGATTTGAGGAAATTACCTGAAAAATCTATGGCTTCTGAATCAATTCTTGACAGACATCCAGAGGCAATCAGGAAAGCATCTGATAGATCAGTAATTGGCACAGATTCGCAATTTAATGTAAAATAATAATCTCATTTTGTACACCTAGTTATGGACCACCTATTAAATAGATCAAATATCTCATTTAAATACTTTATATTGATTAGTTGAAAATCAGAACTTAGTGCCCCCTAAAGAATTATTCCAACTGTTTATTGATAAACAAATATTAAATAATTAGAGATAATATTTATTGTACATGTTATAAGACACCTCTGAAGGTCAATGCTTTTTATCTATCTCCTTGCTTTTTGTTTGTTTCAATTTAATATCAATTATTTTTTGTTTTGTTTTGTAGCTTAGTGAGGTCATAACTGAGATAATAATTATTTTTTACATATTTTTGTTTAACTTGGCACAATTCAACTAAACTTTGAATTTGATTAAGATTAGATGCAATCTAAGAAATGTCCCCCTTGAAATCTTTTATCATTAAATAAACCTATTTCAGTCACCAAAGAGATAATAAGTTACCAAATGGAGGCATCACTTAGTTCATCACTGTAGTATTATATAAACATTTGAAACTTAAACCATGGGAATTGAAACCTATGAAATCTGGAATCTAGTGTCAAATGAAGAATACTCCAGTCATTCCATTATTAGCGATGCTCTCTCCTGTCATGGTTATTTTGGGTTATTTCTCTCTATGCGCCTGATTTTTGCATTTCTTTACAATTTAAAGTACAAGTATTACTTTTTACATAAAAGGATCCAAATTTTCCTGTTTATGCTGCTATTTTGCATTTCAAAATATGATCAGTGTTTTTCTGAGAATATCGCGGTGACAATAATGAAACTGGAGATAAATAGAACAAATAGAAACATGTTTATGTATATTTGCCAACTGTTAACTGTTTATATTCTATAATTGTTTTTTGCAATTAATTATATATTTCATTTGGCTAAATAAAGGAAATTACACAGTTTTAGAAACACATGAGGTCCATCAGTAATTCCAATTTCAATGAAACGAAAATGTGGAAATATGTGACCACCAGTAATATTAATCTATCAGGCTATAGTGTTATGTTAGTGTCTATTTCACGAAGCATAAGTCCCTTTAAATCGTGTGCATTCACATAAAAATCCTCAAAAATTAGGATACAATTTTCATTCCATAAAATAACAGCCTAATAAATATCAAATAACTCAAACTACTAAAAACTTGGAATTCCAGTTAAAACATAAATAAGAAGAATAAAGTATAAAAGCGCTGCCAAGGGTTTACTAATACTCTGATAACGCATATTTATACTCATCATTTTATTCCCTCCACATTGAAAAATAATTAACGTCAACAGTTGGATTAATCATACCGATATCAGCTCAATTTCAGCTTTAGGAGAAATAAACCTACCTCCTAAGTGTCTATAATAAAAATCAAATTCCTCCGTTTAGATAACCAAATTGCAGAATTTCGCAGAAAATGAGAACTTTTGGTAGCTCCCTGTTGATTCCTGATAAAAAATTTGAGAAAATTAAGTTGTAGGTCAAATGGTCGTTAAGATATGGGTTATAATTCATGAAGAATCAGTCAATGTTGTCTTGGTAACAGCAGGTGAGTTGAAACATTATACAGCAGCTCTACATCACACTGACTCAACTTACCCATAATACCCCACAACCCTAGCAGACGTGCTTTATCCAAAATAACAAATATTCACACTTGTCTAAAAATTGGATGAAATATCTACATGGGAGACTCCTAATCTAACTCATGATTATGATTTTGATCATTTGTTGTCAGATAAATACTAACATAGATAAAAGCTTATGAGATAACTTATCTGGTTATTCTAAAAAAATTCTAAGATTTTTACCTGTTGCAATCAACACTTACAACACTCAACATTCGACACCTCCAACTATTCTACCCATTTCACATTATCCCTTCCAGAGTTTCAAACCTTCTCAAATCTTACTACAATCTCATGAGGTTTACAGCTTTCATATAAAAAATGCATGAAAATCATCAAATATGAAACATCATATATTCTCTTTCGAATTAGATCATTTTAAGAAAAACACTTTTTATTAACATAAGATTTCACTTTTAGATCTTTCATTATCAGGGTGTTTTCATTCAACTTCGTTATCTTACTAGGATGGATCGAGTATATCTATATGGGCTATTAAATAAGTAAAGGAAAAACAATCATGGGGAGGTTAGAATGATTAATCAAAATGGGAATTTAACACTCCTTGATATAAGCCTTATTTATCAAATTCCTACAGCAAACCGGCAAAGCACTAGAAGTAAGACATAAAAATCAAACCTAAGTTCAAATTGGATTGCTCCTTTAATAATCAAATTAACTAAATGAAACCTGCACTTCAGAGGCAAAATAAAATGACAACATATAAATAAATAATTTTCAATAATTACATAATTTATTTTGAATAAATAATTTATATGGATTACACGAGTTTCTTGTGCATGGATTTCTCACTCATAGACAGCTCAGTGTACTTCAGAGATTCAACATACTTCAGAGATTCAACATACTTCTGAGATTCAACACACTTCAGAGATTCAAAATACTTCAGAGATTCAACATACTTCAGAGATTCAACATACTTCAGATATTCAGGCATCAACAAAACAATAGTTTCAATCATTCAAAATATTTCAAGTACTTTAGGAAGAGTTGTGATTTAATTGCATTTTCTGAGTAATTTAAATACATAAATTCTTTGAACCATTTGGTGGCACTTCAAGTTGATTTCATATTTTTAAACTACCCATATCTGTATGATCTGAATCAAACCAAGATCAATCATACCAAGATCGATATCTTTTTCAATCACAAATCCCGATGAAATATGGCACACAATTTATGTAATCACAGCCGGGGCATATATCCACTGGTTGTACACTATAGAAGATATACAGCACTATAAACATCATTCCGAACACCAATGGGGATAACACACCGATCAATATACGTTTCCTACGCACATGCCATCTATTAAATGTAATGTATGGTAGAAGTATGATTCCACTTAAACATCCCATAATAGTCCCAGCTATGTGACTAATGTTGTCGAGGGGTGGTAGAGTTGAGATGAATAGAAGTAAGAGAAAAATGTTGGTGAGTTTGAAAAGTTCGAATGATCGGTTTGCGACAAGCTCCCAGGATTGGATGAGTTCAACAAGTAGTACACCTAGTAATCCAAAGATGGCAGCACCGCCTCCTACTTGAGCACGATGTGGATTAAATATTGCCCCCACCTGGAAAATACATCATTTTTGTACTATATTACGCTTCAAATATTTCATTTTACATATATCACAACAAAATTGTTAAGTCTGTGCTCAAGTAAAAATTTGACAGCAATCAAGACACGAAAAAAAAAAAAATTGTTCTTGATTTTGAAGCATCATTATGATGACATGTCTTTCTGAAAGAATGCATCAGCAATGTTTCATTTCTTCAATATATTTTTCTTAAAAGATATTGATACTATCTTAAAATCACAATATAAAAAGTTTAACTTTTTATTCCTTAAAACATAGTGGGGGATTTCTCACCAAAAGGCCAAACACCCCACTCAAGATGTATATGATTGCAATACGCAACCAACCAGCCAGCTTCTCAATCTGTCGACCAATCAGAAGCTGTATTGCAGCCACCATCAACCAATGAAAAATGCCATGATGATGTAATAAGCCAAAGAACAACCTCCACCAATGGTTGATTGATTCTGGTTTATAAGGTTTATCTTTTGTCTTAGAGAATCCACCAAATCCACACAAAATGGAGATACAATCCACCTACAAAACATAGAAATGAAACTCAAATACAGATTTTAGTTTTCAACATTTTCTGGAGATGAGTCACATTCGTGCTGCCTTCTATAAAACATCACTTTGTTATATATGTATTTTGCAGCAATATTTTTTCATCCAGCAGAGTGATGTATTATACTTTATGTATGTTATGCATTTGCAGTGTTGTGAAATTGGGGACATTGGCTACATCATAATAATGACAGCATGAATTTTTAATAAACTATTTTACGACAACTATTCATGAAACATTTAATTTATTTTTGCTAAATTAAATTTTGCTTTCTCCTTCTCCTAAAAAGTTATTTAAACAATGCTGGTGTGGAATTACACTGATACATCGACCTTGTCCCCAGAGACAAAAATAACACAAGTTTCATGATCTTATTCAATACAGTATTTGTCAGCAGAGATTAGATCCTTGAAAATATATTGTTTTACAATACCTGGCTGCAATGGTCAGCTCTCTTTTGAAATTGACCTCCAATAAACAGGCAGTGTTCATGTGTTGCTAGGAGACAATGTCCCATGTAACCATGACAACATGGTTTCAAAATGTGAGCCACACTGTTCTGTCCTGGAGGTCTGGCTCGGCATGTTACACCATCCCTCCAATCTCCTGCACCTGTAAACGAGATAATTCACAAGTAAATTGAAGTTCACAGACTTGTTGATGGGTTGCCAGGAGACAGTGATACATGTTACCATGGCAGCATGGTTCTATGAATTTATAAACACAATTACTGTAAAAATCATTAGTTTTCCTAAACTAAAGTATGTACTATTGGTATGTTTATAAAATAGACACCAAGTCCTCAATCAGCATTTCAGCAACCCTTCTAGTATAGGCTTATTGCATTATTGATTTGCATTGATTTCCATTACAATTTTTGTAATTATATAATGTGTTTTGATACGCATTGTTAAAGAATGAATAAATTATGAACAACAAAGATGCTTTTACATTATTACTTCATTTGGCTGAAAGTTTGTACCTGAACTAAAGGTTACTGTAAGAAGAGGGTGGCTGTTATGCCATACATGTAGCTTCTAACTTTGGAATTGGACAAAACTTCATCATAAAATGAATATGCAAAATGTAACCACCTGCCATTTGTTACTGGTGCTGGTCAACGAATGCCGAACAAATTTCACAAAAAAGTTGGGAGACTTTTGGTGATGTCATAAAAATGTATAATCTCACAAATAATTAAACAAATCTAGTGATGTTTTGAAATATTTCCAGAATTGGAAAGCATTTGATGTGCAAGTCTCAGTCTTTAGCCTTGCAAAATGGCAGATTCTTTTGCATGTATATACAGATGTTTCTTTGGAAATGCCAGATAGCTCAGTATACACAGCGATTCCCAACCTTTTCATACTGTGGCCTGAAAAAGAGACACTCAAGACCCATTTGATTGGTATCCCTCCACATGGGAACAATATATGGATGATGTCTTTTAGATCCTAGATAGCACCAAAGAACAAAAGTTCATTCATTTATTTATTTGAGTCACAATTATCTCACACAGACATCATCATTTTAATGAATTACTCCCTGAAGAATTCATTGGGTCATTAAATGAAGCAGATGTCATATTTTTGCAGTAGCCATATTGTTACCTGCACTTGAGTCTAGGTAAACATGTAGAGGAGAAAAGAATTTTAATTCCATTAATTCGATGGTTCATCATTATACTAGTATGTAAACACGTTTTCAGGATCACATGTTGTGAAGAGTCATTTTTAACATTGGATACTTGCTAGAAGTTGCTTAGGTAACGTAATCTTAATGCTTATGTAACGTTATCATGCTTATGTAATCAAAAGCAAAGAACACAGCACACGCAATGATGAAATGGAGGTGAAACTATTATCATTTGTTTTTCTTCTCTTTGTGAAGAATATCATTTGCACCCATTGGACAACAGGGTTGTTTGCGACACCAAGAACCAATGTCAAGCAACTGAATTCAATGAATGATACAATAATATAAATAGGGTAATGGAACCACTGTCTACTCATGTGTGTTTATGCCCAAACCTGCAAGGCCTTTAACTACAATGCAGATTCCTCAATATGTGAGTTGTACAAAAAGGTGGAGTGCGATAAACTTAACAGCTCACCTAGGTGGAAACTTGGAGTTATAAAAATAGGTACATTCTGTTATCATACTTATCTATATATAAGGAAAGTGCTCTGGTGTTGAGACTTAATTCATTTTTTGAGACTATTACTTTTGCCAGTTCTCTTATTTTTCTTTATTTTTCAAGAACAGATTTCTCAACAACTAGAATTTCAAGCTGCTTACAAGGCTAGTTAGGAAATGTGCCTGAGATGATGGGAAATTAAGTTAACTTTTTATCTATGTCAAAGGTCAAATCTTGAGTTTTCAAGATTTTGGGTATTTTCTCCAATGTCGTTGGTTACTTTTCCTCACTCTTTTTTCATTGTGTTAGTTGTACATTTCCAGCATCTGAATTTTCTTCAGTGAATCTTATATGTGCCTCTTATTTCAGATCACCAAATATCAACAGAGACCAATGTGGCATTGAATAAAACAACATATCAATCCACATATTACACAGACAAACCCCGCGGTCCTGAAAAAGCAGTAGATGGCAATACAGATGGTGATTTTTCAAAGGCCTCATGTTCCCATACAGTTGTGGGAAGCTATCCTCCATGGTGGATCATTGACCTTGGAAAGTCATATTACTTGTCTAAGTTATTCATTTGGAATCTTTTAAGACTTCAGTAAGTTAGATAATATTATTTTGGTGAGGATCTAAATAAGTCTCTTAAAACATTTTCCGGGAAAATGTGATATTATGAACTAAAATAGTAATATTATGAACTGATTTAGTGATATTATGAACTGATATGGTGATATTATGAACTGATATAGGGATATTATGAACTGATTTAGTGATATTATGAACTGATATGGTGATATTATGAACTGATATAGTATTATTATGAACTGATTTAGTGATATTATGAACTGATATGGTGATATTATGAACTGATATAGTATTATTATGAACTGATTTAGTGATATTATGAACTGATATGGTGATATAATGAACTGATATAGTAATATTATGAACGGATTTAGTGATATTATGAACTGATATGGTGATATTATGAACTGATATAATAATATTATAAACTAATTTAGTGATATTATGAGCGAACTGATATGGTGATATCTGGTTCCTGGGATTGCTGAGACAATTAAATTTGGTGATATCATTTTCTATTTGAAGGCCATCGACTTCATGACTTTGCCATCGATATGGCTTGTGAATTTGATGGAGTGAACCTGAAAAGTGCATACTGGAGAAGACAACAAACACACAATAGTCAAGAACAAGGCAACCCTACAATCATACAACTCCTAAACGCCTCTGTAGGCAGATTCATTAAGACAGAAAATGCTCTTGGACATAAATCTGCTGATCCAGGGGATGACATGTTGGCTCCATGTGAAGTTGAGATATTTGTCAAGAATGTGGATGATGACTGTGAATGTGAACTGCATGACCTTTTATAAAAGGTCATCACTAGTGAAACTGTCAAGCTCAACCAGTAGTTCTCATAAAATCAAGAGAACAATGAATCAATTAAGAAGGCCAGGAAAAAAATTTAAGTTTCTCAATCAATTTTACTCTTAGTCTTAGACTGACCATCGTAACCCCGGGGATCGTGGTTTCCCCACTCACAACCCTCCCGGTGATGACCAGTCCAACAGACAAGCTTCTGCCTTCTAACCAACCACACACACCTTGTTTTGTTATTATTATATTGGGAGAGGGATCATGGATCACAAACACCTGTATAGGATAAATACCTTTTAAGTAAACATTATTCTATGTTCAAGTCAAGCTGAGAATCACTTCTTTTAGTACTTAAAAATTAACGGTTATAAATATGTAATAATTTTTTAAAGTGATTAAATACCAAGTGCTAATCACAAAAAGATAAAAATTTTTATCAAAAGTTTACTGAACATTCACAATAACTAGTTAGATCTCGTCTCTAATCTGCATTTGTAATAATTTCATGATGAAATGATAATCGATTTTTCTGGATTTTGATGATAAGATTTATGTGCTGCTTGCCAGCCCACCCACCCAGTAGCACAAGATGATCACAAAATAGAACTTTGATGAGTTATAATACATGGATAATACAAAAAAAAATTTCATACCTTATTTTGCATCTGCCTTGATGAATAAATTTCATATCTTTTTGAAGAGTGACAAAATGTATAAACCCCTTCCCTGTATATCATAAAATTAATATGTACATGTATTGCATCATATTCAATATAATAAAACTTTGAATCAAAAACATGATCCAAATTTAGATATATCTTTTTATGAGTAGACTAACAAGATTTTTGGCCAACCTTATTAACCTTAGCTTCATTAGTGTAATTATATTAATTACAACAATAGATTGAGGTCACTTATGTGACTTATTGTAATACTCCCTGTGGCACATCTGGGTATTTGGGATCGTGTTGGGACTATATAAGTGGCTACCATTGTTCTATTCCTCAGTCTCTCAGAAGCTCTACACAGATACACAGATATTCAACATGCAAACCGTACTCGCAGTTTTCGTAGGATGCATCGCTGTGGCAATGGCCAGTGAATACGCCACGTAAGTTATTCTTAAGTTTTCACATTCACTATTAGATGTTAAGTTTTTTATTAATATCAGTTATTTTGCAATAAGGTGTCTTACTCTGTTTAACAGTGTGAAAAATATAGCTCAAGTGCCCAAAATTATGAACTTCAATTCAAGTTCTTCAAGACTTCAAGTTTTGTTCCACAATTTCTATGATAGATGTTAAAGCACAATGGGCAGCATATGAGAGGAAGGGGAACCCTAACAAAATTTAACTTATTTTTCCACAACTGTTGTAGGAGACCATCCTTTATGAGGACTGAAAGATATCTGTGCATCTGTATCATCAATATTAATAACTTAACCCTTTATAAGACGCTGGCTATCTCTTCACTCTTAATATTAGATAAAAATATTAGCCCAGGCCTCAGGCTTCATGAAACATTATTTGTGAAAGGTGCACAGGCATTCAGCTCAATAAAATGAAATTTGTATTGTGTTGCCCAAAATTATAAATGGACACCAATGCAAGCAGGATACAACAGAATGGCTATGTGACAAAGAACATGCATTTTTAATTGAAATGAAAAAGTTTCACATGTCTTCTTGGCAGGCAAAAGGTTATGATTAAGACCAAAATTGTAAAAATATGGATAGAATTCAGACTACCAATTCAGGATTATGAACAAATGATGATCACTTTGTACCTGGTTTGTTTAGAAAATCCTTTCCATTGATGAATACAATTTATCCTTGACCAAAAAGGGGAAGAGTCCGAATCAATTCCTCCAAGATAGCCTATCCCATCATTCTCTATATCATTTAATAACTCACTGACAAAATCTCATTTTTCCAGCAAGGCATATGAGCCCAAATACCCAACTGATGGTTATCAGAGGAATGATGGCTATGACCAGGAATCCTACGTAGCACCAAGCTACAATGGACATGATAGCTACAAAGCCCCAAGCTATAACACCCGTGACAGCTACAAAGCCCCAAGCTACAACACCCGTGACAGCTACAAAGCCCCAAGCTACAACACCCAGGACAGCTACAAAGCCCCAAGCTACAACACCCAGGGCAGCTACAAAGCCCCAAGCTACAACACCCAGGACAGCTACAAAGCCTCAAGCTACAATGGCTATGAAGCCCCAAGCTACAATGCATATGAAACCAAGAGCTACAGCTACTGCAACAGCTACGGATATGGATCCTACATGTACAACACATGCAGAAAATGTGCCACCACCTACAGCAGCTACTTCACATGCCCCAAGAGCTACTACCCAGCTGAAACATATGTTGCCCAGCCAAGCTACGGACATGATAGCTACAACAGGCAAAACAGCTACAACAGCCACAACAGCTACAACGCATACCAGGCCCCTGCCCAAAAATTCGACTTCAAGCACTCTGACAACAGCTGTTTCTGGCAGTGCGATGCCTCCGGAAAAGCCCTTGCCCGTCCCTGCCCTTACGGACTTGTCTTCGATGAGTACAAGGGTGTCTGTGTTACCAAGGAATACTAAGACTACCTCATATTTTATGAACTTTCATATTGTGATGTGGTGAAATAGATAAATGAAGGTCAACTGGAATGGTGGAAAGTAGATTGAAATTGAAAGAAATGTGTTATCAATAAGAAATAAATAAAATAATGAAATACAAAGTCAAATCTTTGTGTGTTTGTTGAAATCTTGCATTCTGATTGGTTGATACCAGCCCTAAAGTGCTTTCCCATGAACAAGCACCAGTATATTCAAGTTCTCACTAATTTTTGGAGGTCACTAAGCACCAGAAGGGGCATCTAAGGAGATAGGCAGTGGTTTCAACAAGCCAACACCACCCCAACACTTCAAATGATACGCTGAAATGGTTTAAGCAATGCTTTGGTGATCAGCTCATCTGTTACAGAACTCATAACATATGGGCAGCTTATTCGCCAGATCTAAATCTCTCAGATTTTTATCTTGGGGATTTCTCAAAGCCAATATGTATGCTGACAGGCCCCTAACAATCTTAAGAGGGCAATAACTACCCCAATTCATACCATCCACATTGATGTGTATAGGTCAGGGTCATTAACAACTTTGTTCGCAGGATTCATTTGTGCATAGAGAGAAGTGCCCATTTTGAGCATGTTTTGTAAGGTCAGTAGTTTTTGACAACAAAACAAACAAAATTGTCATTGAATGAATTAAATAATTCTTAAATCTCAAGGGAAAATATGCAAAATTGACCGAATTATTCAACTTTCTTACGGTCCTGTTTTTTTGGACACCCTGTACTACAACATCATTTGGGCTACACATTTAAACCATTCCAGTATTGACTACATAAACTCCAGAAAAAAGGACAGACTCCTACTTCTCTATTCAAATCAGGCCCGTAGCCAGGATTTGCCAAGGGGGAGTTCAATTTTCAAAAAGTTCCAGGGGGGGTTCACATTTGACAATTTTGGCCCAAATTAGGCTAAAATGGTCAAAAACTGCATGATTTTGAAAGAATTTTTGGCCAGGGGGGGGGGGTTCGCCTGCAAATTGTTACTTATGAGATTAACAGACATTCTCTTACTCAAATAATGTATTAAATTTTTATGAAAAACTCTCCTGTTCTAAGTAACCTTGTATGAACTGATATAGTGATATTATGAACTGATATAGTAATATTATGAACTGATATGGTGATATTATGAACTGATATGGTAATATTATGAACTGATATATTAATATTATGAACTGATATAGTAATATCATGAACTGATATAGTAATATTATGAACTGATATAGTAATATTATGAACTGATATGGTGATATTATGAACTGATATGGTAATATTATGAACTGATATAGTAATATTATGAACTGATATAGTAATATCATGAACTGATATAGTAATATTATGAACTGATATAGTAATATTATGAACTGATATGGTGATATTATGAACTGATATGGTGATATTATGAACTGATATAGTAATATTATGAACTGATATGGTGATATTATGAACTGATATGGTAATATTATGAACTGATATAGTAATATTATGAACTGATATAGTAATATCATGAACTGATATAGTAATATTATGAACTGATATAGTAATATTATGAACTGATATGGTGATATTATGAACTGATATGGTAATATTATGAACTGATATGTACAGAATATCACATCATTTTGAGTGATATCATTTTTATCGCCGAGTTGATAACAAATATCAACACAAGTGAGCGTAGCGAATGAGTGTTGATATTTGATATCTACGAGGTGATAAAATGATATCACGAGAAATTATGTGATATTGGGTTTATCCCATGATTACAATCACCTTGTGATGTTCTGATCCAATTTCCAGGACATTGACAGACAATATAAGCTAGAAATTAGAATATCAATTGAATATTTGAAACACTTTATTTTAACAATAAAAAGTAAATAACATGATATTGTTCGTCATAAATACCAATTTTTAATCGTTAGTTAGCCTTCTTATCAAATTATATACACAATCGTAATTCAATACACCAACGAAACTTAAAGAGAATAAATTAAGGGACCAATTTCTCAAAAGAGAATAAATTATCTGACCTAATTTCCAACAATATTGTGGCACGAAATGCAGATGTGATATCACACGGATATGCGTGAGATAAACGATATCACACGCATATGAGTTTGATAAACGATTTTCTGGAAAATATCACACGGATTTCAATAATATCAGAAATATCAATAGCTGTTATTGTACAGATAACACATTAATCGTGGGATAAAGTAATATTATGAACTGATATAGTAATATTATGAACTGATATGGTGATATTATGAACTGATATAGTAATATTATGAACTGATATAGTAATATTATGAACTGATATAGTAATATTATGAACTGATATAGTAATATTATGAACTGATATAGTAATATTATGAACTGATATAGTAATATTATGAACTGATATAGTAATATTATGAACTGATATAGTAATATTATGAACTGATATAGTGATATTATAAACTGATATGGTGATATTATGAACTGATATAGTAATATTATGAACTGATATGGTGATATTATGAACTGATATGGTAATATTATGAACTGATATAGTAATATTATGAACTGATATAGTACTATTATGAACTGATATGGTGATATTATGAACTGATATAGTAATATTATGAACTGATATAGTAATATTATGAACTGATATAGTAATATTATGAACTGATATAGTAATATTATGAACTGATATAGTGATATTATAAACTGATATGGTGATATTATGAACTGATATAGTAATATTATGAACTGATATGGTAATATTATGAACTGATATAGTAATATTATGAACTGATATAGTAATATTATGAACTGATATAGTAATATTATGAACTGATATAGTGATATTATAAACTGATATGGTGATATTATGAACTGATTTGGTGATATTATGAACTGATATAGTAATATTATGAACTGATATAGTAATATTATGAACTGATATAGTAATATTATGAACTGATATGGTGATATTATGAACTGATATGGTGATATTATGAACTGATATGGTAATATTATGAACTGATATAGTAATATTATGAACTGATATAGTGTAATTATGAACTGATATAGTGTAATTATGAACTGATATAGTGATATTATGAACTGATATAGTAATATTATGAACTGATATAGTGTAATTATGAACTGATATAGTGATATTATAAACTGATATGGTGATATTATGAACTGATATAGTAATATTATGAACTGATATAGTAATATTATGAACTGATATAGTAATATTATGAACTGATATGGTGATATTATGAACTGATATGGTGATATTATGAACTGATATAGTAATATTATGAACTGATATAGTAATATTATGAACTGATATAGTGTAATTATGAACTGATATAGTGATATTATAAACTGATATGGTGATATTATGAACTGATATGGTGATATTATAAACTGATATGGTGATATTATGAACTGATATGGTGATATTATAAACTGATATAGTAATATTATGAACTGATATAGTAATATTATGAACTGATATAGTGTAATTATGAACTGATATAGTGATATTATAAACTGATATGGTGATATTATGAACTGATATGGTGATATTATGAACTGATATAGTAATATTATGAACTGATATAGTGATATCTGGTTCCTGAAATTGCTGAGACAATTAAATTTGGTGATATCATTTTTTATTTGAAGGCCATCGACTTCATGACTTTGCCATTGATGTGGCATGTGAATTTGATGGACTGAACTTGAAAAGCGCATGCTGGAGGAGACAACACACACACAATGGTCGAGTTCATGGGAACCCTACAATCATACCACTCCCAAATGCCTCTGTAGGCAGATTCATTAAGATAGAAAATGCTCTTGGACATAAATCTGCTGATCCAGGGGATGACATATTGGCTGTATGTGAAGTTGAGATCTTTGTCAAGAATGTGGATGATGACTGTGAATGTGAACTGCATGACCTTTTATAAAAGGTCATCACTAGTGAAACTATCAAGCTCAACCAGTAGTTCTCATAAAATCAAGCGAACAATTAATCAATTAAGAAGGTCAGGAAAAAATGTCTCGTTTCCGATTGCCATGAAAAAAAAATGCTAGACCTACAAGCCAGCCATTCTTATTTTGATTTTTGATTTTTTGCCTTTTGCCTCTATTTACAACTAAAAATTGAATGCTATGCAAATCCGTACTATTTTAACAGAAATCTGGTTGGCTCATCTGTTTTTTTCCTTGAAATATCTGTTTTCATTACTTTTTTCATGCCATTGGGCTTCTGAGAGAGACAGCCTAATAAGGAAGTGTAATAGTAAAAGACTAAGGGTTACTGGAAGAAAGTGTGAATTGTGTATGACATTGTACAAAAAAGCGAAATACTAAGTTCATAGAATGACACAACAGTTTAACACAAGTCTTTCCCTCCAAAACTTTGGAGGACACTTTAGACCAAAGCCCTATCTGAACCACACAATTAAAAATTTTGCAATTATCTTTGCAAACACATGAAATTCATGAATGTTTCGAGAAGGACAATTAAGCAAAACAAAGCATTTAGCTTCAATCTCTTTCATTGATCTCATCAATATAGATATTCATCATCACACAATTGTCATCAAATTATACATCCCTCAATCTAGATCATATTTAAAGATACTTTGTTTTCACCATTATTTGGTTGTACCAATCTCCTCTTACAGCTCTTATATCAATCAATTTTACTCTTAACATATATATTTTATACGAACACCTGTATAGATAAATACCTTTTAAGTAAGTAAACGTTATTCTATGTTCAAGCCATGTCCAAGAAAAAAAATTGGGCCATGCCAAAAAAGGCCTTAAGGCCCCAAAAAGTGGGCCTTTTTGACAATTACTGGGCCTTGTAAGGCCTTATTTTTTAATTTCAGGCCAAAGGACGATTCTCGGTTTGGAGAACAGTCTCCTGGGCTAATAATTTTTTTCA